AGGGTGGATTTGGGGTCAAGGGGTTGGTTTTGGGGTCAGGAAGGTGTTTTTGGGACCCAAGGTGTTAGTTTAGGGGCCGAGAGTGTGTATTTTGGGGCCGAGAGTGTGTATTTTGGGGCCAGGAGGGTGTTTTTGGGGTTCAAGGTGTTACTTTAGGGGTCAAAAGTGTGTGTTTTGGGGCCAGGAGGGTGGTTTTTAGGGCCAGGAAGGTGTTTTTGGGGCCAAAGGTGTTACTTTAGGGGTCGAGAGTGTGTATTTTGGGGCCAAGAGAAGTTGGCTTTGGGGTTGGGAAAGTGTTTTTGGGGTCGAGAGGGTCAGTTTTGGGGCCAGGACGATTGTTTTTTGGGGCTGAGAGTGTATTTTGGGACCAGGAGGGTGGTTTTTAGGGCCAGGAAGGTGTTTTTTGGGCCCCAAGATGTTGCTTTAGGGGTTGAGAGGGTTGGTTTTGGGGCCAAGAGGGTGTTTTTTGGGACCGAGATGTTGGTTTTGGGGTTGGGAGGGTGGTTTTGGGCTCAAGAGGCTCTGTTTTGGGGACAAGATGTTGATTTTTGGGGCTGGGACGGTTGTTTTTTGGTGCCAGGAGGGTGGTTTTTGGGGCCAGGAAGGTGTTTTTGGGACCCAGGGTGTTGCTTTAGGGGTCGGGAGGGTTGGTTTTGGGGCCAGGAGGGTGTTTTTGGGGCCAAGGTGTTGGTTTTGGGGTCGAGAGGGTCGGATCTGGGGACAAGATGTTGATTTTGGTGCCAGGAGGGTGGTTTTTGGTGCCAGGAGGGTGGTTTTTGGGGCCCAAGATGTTGCTGTAGGGGTCGAGAGGGTTGGTTTTGGGGTTGGGAGGGTGGTTTTGGGGCCAAGGTGTTGGTTTTGGGCTTGAGAGGGCCAGTTTTGGGGACAAGATGTTGATTTTGGGGCCTGGACGGTTGTTTTTTGGTGCCAGGAGGGTGCTTTTTGGGGTCAGGAAGGTGTTCTTGGGACCCAGGGTGTTGCTTTAGGGGTCGAGAGGGTTGTTTTTGGGGCCAGGAGGGTGTTTTTTGGGGTTGAGATGTTGTTTTTGGGGCCAAGGTGTTGGTTTGGGCTCAAGAGGGTCAGTTTTGGGGACAAGATGTTCATTTTTGGGGCCGGGACGGTTGTTTTTTGGGGCTGAGAGTGTGTATTTTGGTGTCAGGAGGGTGGTTTTTGGGGCCAGGAAGGTTTTTTTGGGGTTCAAGGTGTTACTATAGGGATCAAAAGCGTTGGTTTTGGGGCCAGGAGGGTAATTTTTGGGGTCAGGAAGGTGTTTTTGGGGCCCAAGCTCTTGCTTTAGGGGTCGAGAGGGTTGGTTTTGGGGCCAGGAGGGTGTTTTTTGGAGTTGAGATGTTGGTTTTAGGGACGAGAGGGTCGGTTTGGGGACAAGATGTTGATTTTGGGGCCAGGACGGTTGTTTTTTGGTGCCAGAAAGGTGGCTTTTGGGGCCAGGAAGGTGATTTTGGGGCCCAAGATGTTGCTTTAGGGGTTGAGAGGGTTAATTTTGGTGCCAGGAGGGTGTTTTTGGCGCCGAGATGTTGGTTTTTGGGGTCAGGACGGTGTTTTTCGGAGCCAGGGTGTTGCTTTAGTGGTGGAGAGGCTTTTTTTTGAGGCCAGGAAGGTGTTTTTGGGGCCCAAGATGTTGGTTTTGGGTTTGGGAGGGTGGTTTTGGGGACAAGATCTTGTTTTTGGGGCCAAGACGGTTGTTCTTTGGGGCAGAGTGTGTGTATTTGGGGGCCAGGAGGGTGGTTTTTAGGGCCAGGAAGGTTTTTTTGGGGTTTGAGGTGTTACTTTAGGGGTCAAAAGCATTGGTTTTGGGGCCAGGAAGGTGTTTATGGGGCCCAAGATCTTGCTTTAGAGGTCAAGAGGGTTGGTTTTGGGGCCAGGAGGGTGTTTTTTGGGGTCGAGATGTTGGTTTTGGGGCCAAGGTGTTGGTTTGGGCTCAAGAGGCTCGGTTTTGGGGACAAGATGTTGATTTTTGGGGCTGGGACGGTTGTTTTTTGGTGCCAGGAGGGTGGTTTTTGGGGTCAGGAAGGTTTTTTGGGGCCCAAGATGTTGCTTCAGGCGTTGAGAGGATTGGTTTTGGGGCCAGGAGGGTGTTTTTGGGGCCCAAGGTGTTGGTTTAGGGGCCTGGAGGGTGTTTTTTGGGCCCAAGATGTTGGTTTTAGGGTCAGGGGGGTGCTTTTTGGGGCCGGGAGGGTGCTTTTTGGGGCCAGGGTGTTTCTTTAGGGGTTGAGAGGGTTGATTTTGGGGTCAGGAGGGTGCTTTTTGGGACGGAGAGCCGTGTCCTGGCAGAGGGAAGCCGGGAGCCGGGTCTCCGTGGCCGGGAGCAGCGGGGGCTCCTTCGGGAGGGGGGGCTCAGCCCCTCTGCTCCTTAATTAATAATTAAAAAGAATTCCTTTTTAATCCATTTTTGGCTTCTTTGTGCTTCCAGGGGCTCCTCCAGGATCGAGGAAGCATGCGACATTTACGCCCGAGCGGCCAATATGTTCAAAATGGCCAAAAATTGGAGCGGTGGGTACAAACCCGGCTCACGAACGGGTCTCAAATCCCCTCTTTTCCCCCCAAAATCTTTCCAAACGAGCTTCCTCCCTCCTCTTCCTCCTCCTCCAGCTGCTGGGAATGCCTTTTGCCAGGCGGCCCAGCTCCACCTCCAGCTCCAGAGCAAACACGACGCCGCCACCAACTTCGTGGACGCCGGCAACGCCTTCAAAAAAGCTGATCCCCAAGGTAAAAAAATCCCAAATTTCCCAATTCTGGGGAATATTCAGCCTCCCCCCACCCCCCCCCAGGACACAAATCCACCCCAAACACCCCCATTTCACCTCCCTGAGGCCGCGTGTTGCACGGATCCCTCTCTTTCCCCCCCCCTTACA